TAGAATTTACAACAAAAGCCCTAAATGTTCATTGTCAGCTAAAGCTACAGAAATAAGAAGAAATTAATTTAGGGCTCTTCGTGTAAATTCTATAACTTTGCAAAGAAAGGTCATGTAGAGTTGGGAGAGGTCTCATTTTAATCAGAAATTTGCGGGCTACAATCATGCCTCATTAAGAGCGGTTCGGGTTATTTTTTGGGGTTTCTGAAAAACTCGTTTTCTAGAAAAGCAGGTCTTCGAAGGGCTATGCGGAAGCCGCATGGTCGTATTCGTAATCAGCATGATCGATAACCTATAACCCACTGGATTCCGAGCAAAAAGCGTTTAATCACTTCGTGGGGTTCCCTCGTAAGTAAATCAATGCGAGTCACACAGTCTCCTCTTTTCTTTCCAACAAAGATAATTGTTGTGCTCTTTGGTCGACTATAGAATATATGTACCTGGGTAAACAGATAAAATCGTTGAAAAAAACTCTGACTCAAAACTTGCTTTAATTCATTCTTTAGCGACAGTCCTTTCATGTCACGTGTGAAGTGAAACTGTTCGTTTCGTTCATTTTAAGAACGAACGTGAAAAACTATAATGGAGTATCATACACCGTCAGAAACCGTGGTTCTCCAAAGCCCGGTTTGGGACGGTGGATTAAACCACATTTACAGTCTGACTTTCGCAGCTGTGCAAAACCGATGAAAACTGCGATTGATCAAGGTATAAAGCGCGATTTTTTAAGAAAAATTTTTCCGTAGGGACAATCCATTGGATATCGCTGTCAGCAATGGTGATTTGAACAGCATGGCTATTTTCATTAGATATGACAATGGAACTTTTTCAATAAACAGAATGCTTTCAGCTGGCATTTCAGCATCACAAAGATCGGTTGCCACTGCTGATTTCAATAATGACAATCGACGAGATCTCGTTGTTCTGACTGATGAAACTAATTTCCACTTTGTGTTCTTAGAAAGTGCTCTATAAGCCTAGACAGGTCGCATCACTGGTGCCAAAATTTTTGTATATCGTGGTATATTTCTGATGGATATACCCAGACCGATACAACTACAATATATTACCTTTTTAAAGAATCGTATTGTATTTTGCTTTGCATTGCATTGCATTGCATTGCATTGCATTCACAAATCTCATAGAAAACAACTTTCAACACATCAAACCAACTTCAAGGAACAGAATCTGTAAACTTGCAGCAGAAAATGTTTGTTGTACCAATGGTGATTTGATGTTTGCAAACAGATAAAAGACCAGCTCCAGTCGTAGCCTCAAGATGAATCTTGACACATTATTCCATCAGAAAAAAAGCCTAGTAAAAAAAAATATCTTCAAGCAGCTTGAATCCCTTTGCTTCTCTTGTATACACTCATCGTTAAGATTGTAGTTTATATTGTATGAAACAATCATATTCACAGCTCTTGGATTATAAAATACTAATACATGATTTGTTTTTGAATAGATCAAAGCCCTCGAGATCGAGAGTTATAATTAATACATCAATAAAAAGACTGATTCTATTCATATTTTCAACTGCATCTATAATTGATGCTTTCTTTTCTGTAGTGTCTGCAAATAACTTCCTGCAGACATTTAATTAGGAATTGATTAGTTTGTCTAGTCATATCAGCAAACGTATAAATAGATTGAAATATTTACACACACATTTCTTTCAACAAACTTGCTGTAAAAAATGAATTTCTTTATCTTCGTTCTTGGTGTGATACTGGCTATTCATGGTGTCATAAAAGTTGATGGTCGAGTCGTTTTTGATTACGATAGCAGTGATAGTGAAAATAATAATGATCTCATGCAAGAAGAAGAAGAACCTCAGTTAGCAATGCTTGAACGTGATGAGATAGTCTCAATGGCAGCACGAGCATTAGAATATACTGAAGATGACTACTTATTGAAACAAATTATACCTTTATTGGATAATAATATCGAACGAGACTTTGTTCGAATATTAACCAGTTTAAAAAAAGATGATCGTGATATGGTTGCAATCATATTAAGTGGACTGGCATGGAAAACAACAAAAGGCTGTCCACGTCTTTCACAGGCAATGGTCGTGGAACGAAGAATTATATTAAAAATTATGTATCCTGTAGCGAGACTATTATACAATGACCATGTATTAAAAAAATTAAGCAAGAGTGATCAGCAGGTGTTGAAATCAGCAGAACAAACGGTTAAAACCAATGCACAATTATTGTGTAGGTGATGATGAGGAAATGATCAATTAATCCAAATAGTACAACTTTCAAGCATTCTATTTACTCTTTGTAACTGTTCAATTTTGTTTATTTAGCAATATAATAAACTCTTCCTATTCGCGTTCTAAAGCTGCTCTATTGATCTCACAAATACGGCTGGCTGCAATATTTGTTTTGAAATAAGATCTTGCTCTGCTTTACACGCGATTAGAAAAGCAGTGTGGGAGTTTAAACTATTTTTCAAAAAGTTGATAGTTCAGGAAAACGGCAAAAAGTTAAAATGGTTATAACTTGGGTTATGACTATCAACAATGATTTATTGATGTGTTCGATAAAATAGATGAGAATACAAGTGTTTGCAGCGTTCCTTACGTCAGGAAAGCAGTATTTTAGAATTCTTCTTTGAATGTGTGCCGATAATCATATCACACTTTTAGAGCACTCTTCTGTGTCATCCTCTTCCTCTTCTTCTCCCTCATAACGACTGGTCTCTCTCGTTCATATCAATCACCCTCCTCGTCCTTTTCTATATGAGTTTGCATTCTGTATGTGCACAATACACTTGAAGGTAGAGCATAGCCGAATAAACATCGGGCCGAATGGCACAGACACTTATTGCCTCTCCATTTGTCGTTAAAGAGTGGTTTTCAATGTATTTATCGGCATTCTTCTTTTTATTCAACGAGCTCAAGCACACATACAGATAATATATTACTCGCTGTATGACAAATAATAATCTTTAAGTTATATTAAATGTGAGCGTAGAGAGTAGATGAGCAACGGATCGAATGTAGGAACATTACTTCTCCGAACCTGTGTGTGTATTGTTTGTCGCCCTGACATTGCATGTATTCGTTCATTTTCTTGTACAAAGATGATTCCATTGTGTAGAGGTGAGCACAGCATTCTCACACTTCTTATCAGTTCCTTCTTTCACATTCAGGAGTTGTTGAGCCGTTCATTCTGCCTCCTTCCATTCACCCACAATCTTTCCTTCGACGGTGAGCCCTTCGGCTGCCTTTTCAATAAACAGCCGACGATTAGCTGATTCGCGTAGACTGCTGTCATTGAAGAGATTAAAGTCATCCGTCTGAATATCCATCAAGAGTTTAATGATAATCACTAGCATTTCATATCGGTACTGGAGGCGGTGTCGGTACATCAAAACAAATTTCGTCAAGGTCAATAGACAATTTTATAGAGATTGGTAAGAGCTACAAGAAATTTATGATAAGTTTGAATGGCAAGACAATATATTTTTATTTTCAACATATACAATAAAACGAACAGGCAAGAAAAGTTGCGTATTGGAGAAATCTGTCTTCATGAATCAATCAAAACCGAAGTGGAAAAAGGTTAAAGTTTCTTATGTTTCTTATTCCATAATTGCTGTTGATTTTAGTTTATCTGGTCGACGGTATTTTTCTTATTGGGTTCAGTTATTGTATTAATTCCATGTCTTGTTGTTATCACTTGACGTTTCAAAGACTGTTCTGTTGTACCGACACCGCCTCCAGCACCGATATGAAATGCTAGTGATTATCAATCAAATAGTGACTATCAGACAATCTTCGTTTGGATCGTCTTTCATCGCCTCGATTTCAGCGGATTAATGGGAAGAGCGTGATCTATTTAAGACAACAACATCATATGATTGATTCACGTGGTTCATCAACAACTTTACATTGGATCGATTTAGAAACGAACAAAAATATTCAATTGACACGACCGATTTGGGGTGTGCATGATCAACGAGTAAGGTAGAACAATGGAATATTTTATTATTATTCAACCATTGGTTTTTTCTTTTCAGTTCTTTTGGATAGATAGTATTACTATTCTCTTTGTATCTAATCGAGCTTCATCGGAGCTTACTCAAAGTTTTCAACTTAATCTTTCTATCGACTTGACTACTTTCATCGAACCTATTCAAATAACAGACTATCCATTATATCGTTATATGCGCCAATTCTAATGAAATAAAAAAAGGCGCTTCATCTAAAACTAGATAGGTTTGTAAAATTGTTTATGACCCTTTTACAGAGAGGCCAAGACGTCCACACACTCTAAAAGACGTTACAGAACCGAAGAGGTTTCGTACTTAATACAGAAAAGTTCGAAAAAGTTTCACAGTTACTTTCTGAAAATACCAAGCTTTCAACTTCTACGAAAACATAAATTATTTCGGAGCTCCAAAGGTCTTATGCGCTAGATTAAAAAGGTTCAACCAGTCTGTCTGAAACAACACTCAGAATTAAACGGAGACCTATTTTACACGTACACCTCTGTCGACATTCAGGCTATCGCGTGACAGATCGTCCAGCATTCTACCCTACGTTGAATAACATTCTTAAAACTATTCAACTGCAAGAGCGTTTAGAACTAGTTTAACTTAATTAACTTAAGTTTCCATCAATTTAGGAAAAAGTCTTTCTCTACTTATATCTACCAGCATTCTGTTTGGATTGTTACAATTTATTTTCAATCATCCAAGGCGATAAATATCTGTAATGTGCGAATACTCTGGGATGCAAAATTATGCAAAAAACCAAGTTCAAGTAGACTTTCTAATTGTTATCCTTTTACGCTCTTTTTCTGATATTACAGAGTATATTAAATTACATACTGCACGAAAGTTTGACGCACTAAATGACTCCTGCATTGACTTTTCATCAAAAGTTGCACAAAAATGATCTCACACAGATTCACTGTAATATGTTTGGTAGTAAAAAGTCGGATTTAGCCGATCTTCAGCTAGCAATTACAAACATATCATTAAGCGTTTCAAATACGACTGCACAGCTCTAGAAAGTGCTCCTCGTTAGATCTCTCAACATTTCCTACCGTCAAAACGATGCCTTTCATTTCATGAAAAAAATATCGAAATATCAAATCTTATTTTGTTCGTTGAATGTGAAAACAGGAGACACATAAGCAGAAGAACAACGTCCCATTCTTCTATGGCGTTCGTTTACAAAGATCTTTGATAAACTGACTCTGAGTATCATTGGTGCAGGAACATCTGACCAATTATCTACTAAGACTTTCCAACTGCCTTCCATTTAAGGAAAGACATCATGTGCAAATATATAAGCTTTGTTTCATTGAAAAGAAAAATTAATTGAAAATAGGAACAAGTTATAATGGTGAATATTTTATTGCAATTCATAAGTCTCATTATTGGCAGTCCGTAATGATAAGTGAGCGTGAGGTGCGTGGATCGTTGTTTGTAGTGCTGTTGGGTAACGATTAGTGGCAAGTAGGAGAGATATTTGTGTTAGTTGCCTACGACAACGACGCCAGAAAAGAATAATTCTTCGGCAAAATATATTACGAAAGAATCTACTTGAAAAAATTGACACATAGAAAGATGTGGCAAAATTGAAAAAGTACAACGAGCCACCAAGTTGTACAGCGAACGATTCTGCGGCATGTTGATCGACTGTTTTATGCAAGTTTGTATTGGTGATGAGAGTGTAACTGTACGAACCCAGACGTAGTAGAATAAAAACTGTGCTTAGAATCACTTGCATTACAATGATCTAAATTTTGAAAAATCCGCTAATTAGTTTAGTTATTCATTAGAAAGAGTAGCACCAAAGAGCAAATCATAATCAAAATCATACCGTTATGATTTGTAATTCGAGACGTTGTGCTCGTCTATGACTAGGATCAGTCTTCACTATCATTGTGGCTGCTACTCGGCGTCTTGATCTTCTGAGATTAAACAAAGTGATGAGAGAGAAAGTCGACATAAGAACATGAGGCAATAGCGAAACAATAATAACTAAATAGCCTACAAAAATGAACGTATAGATACTGCCCGGGCTAGTTTGACAAATGCCATTGTAAATATCATAAAAAATAGGTATATGTATGGAAATAACAAGTCCAACTATCAAAATAACAGCTGCCAATCGATATGCTACTTTAGATTGAGTCCATGCACGTAATCCAGCGTTCTCTGATGTGGCAAAACATCGATCCATAATAGCCAAAAACATATAGTAAGAAGCCAGTGAAGGCAGTGTCACAACGAGATAATAGAGCAGTTTACAGAATACAACTGATTGATTTTGTAAAGTACTTCCATATTGAATAATTGCCAAACGACCTCCAGGAACACAGAACATAATAGCGAGTAGTTGAAACATAGTGGTGCATAATAAATAGACCACAGACGAAGACTGACGCATCTGTCGACTAGTGAATGTAATTAGATTACAAATACCACCAATTGTACCAAATATAAGAGTGAAAAAGTCGATATACAATTCGATCGTAGAAGAGATTTTCAGTAGTGTTGTCGAATAGTCGCCGGTGGACATATGTATGCTTTTGCTCTATTATTGGTTGAATAAAGTATGTAATTATTCTGAAAGTAATAAAAAAAGTACTACTTGCTTCTCTTTTTATTATCGCGTGGGGAAAAGTGAAATATCCTCAGTATCGATGCTCTGAACGTCTCGTTTACATTATTGTGCTCTTACATTATGTGACGTATGTTTAACGATGAATACAAAAGAGAAAAGCAGATTAATGAAGCTGTAATCTGACAAATATAGAATGAAAATTCAAAAAGCATATAATGAATTAAGATGACAAGAAAGGAAAAACCATTTTATACGGATGTGATTATCTTTCTTTTGAATGTTTTTACTCCCATTCTTATATAGAACTGTCATCATTCGACCGATGTGTATCTGTGTCAACAATATAGTTTTATAACTCGAATTAGATATCCTATGAAAAATTCGTCTTTGATGAGAATCTGTTTTGTTTTATTAGTATTAGTGCTCAACCCTAAGGGTTCTTGCACAGGATTGTCGGACGAGACATACATAAAGTTTAGAAAAACAAAACCAAATAAGAGGAGTAACTAACGGTTACAAAAGCTTACCAAAATATGATCTGTTAAACCATTCTTTGTTTGATCAATAAGTGGAACGAGACTTTAGTGTAAACTTTGTAAAGGAGACGAAAAATGGAAAAGTTCCTTCGTTTCACG